GGGTGGCAAAGGATTTTATTCACCTAACACATTTACATGAGGTTGAACAAGATGGCTGTCTGCCTCATGTTTCATCTCTAACTGTAAATAACTTCCATTTTAGGAGGCTGAGGCAAGAGGATCACAAGTTCCAGCCTAGCCTAGCAACTTATTGACTTAAGTCTTTGTCTCAAAATTTTAAAAAAAGAAACAAGCATTAAAACATATCTCAGTTTGAAGGTTATGGGTTCAATCTCCATTGCTGCCAAAAAGAAAGAGAGAAAAGAAAGGAAGCAAGGAAGAGAATAGAGAGAAAAACAAGATTGTCCATTTTGTGGCCCATTGAGCATCCTTTGTGTTCACGTTTTTTGGTGGTAATGTTTGAAACAGCCCCAGGCCTAGTGGTAAAGAGCCGACCCATCTGCCATGGACCCTGGGAAAGCTGTGAGCATCTTATGGGAAAACATGTGTGTTAGAGAAGCCGTTGGCCGTGAGTTCAGTGTTAACCAATCAGCAACATACAGTGAACAAGATGTCTTACACAGCAACATGTAAGATTATCTACTGATCACTTTACAGAAGCACCCCCCCTTCCTCATCCTCCTCACGGAAGAATGGAATAGATTCTCTCTGTAGATTTTAGGACAGTTACCAGTGTTCTCAGCACTTGTTTCCTGGCTTTGACCACGTCGGTGAACATCTAACAGGTCATCACCTATGTAGCCCAGAAAATAGCTATGGGAAGTCCTCTGAGTTTAAAAATTTTGCCTATGTTTTTGTTTTTCCAGGTGGGTTCTAGTTATGTGGCTCGGGCCTGCCTCAAACTCCTGGCCAAAAGTAATCCCTCTGTCCCTGCCTCTGTAGGACCTGTGGTTAGAGGTTAGTAAAACCACACTTAACATTTTTTGTTTGTTTTTTGCTATTATCTGTTCCAATAGTTCATCATTTTTATTGCAGCGTAATACAGACATTAGTAAATTAGTCATCACACATGATAATTAATGGTTAAGCTAGTAATAGATGTAAAAATACGGATACTGAATGTAGACATAGAACAACTTGTTTACCCTTCCATTCATTGGTTGATGAACACTTGGCATTTTTCTTGATTTGGGCTATTAAAACTGCTACCTTTTTCCTTTTGAAAATAACAGTAGCTTCTCAGAATTCAAACCATTAAGCTAGCATATGACCCAGGACGTCTACTTATAGGTATTACAGAGAATCCACAGATATTGTGTGTATGAATATCCATAGAAGCATTATTTATAATAACCAAATAAAGGGAAACAACCCAAATACCTAACAACTGATGAATAACAAAATGTATCCTATCACAGTGGAATATTACTAAGCAACAAAAGGTACGCTGGACAGACAAGGATGTACCTTGGAAGTATTACACTCAGTGAAAACCGCCATACAATTTATATAGAATGTCCCAAAGAGGCAAATTCATATACTTTTAATTCATATTTTCTTAGTGACCAATAACACTGCATTTTTTCTTTGGGCTCCATGAACATCTGTGCATATTTGGTGAAGCCTGTGGTCTACTTAGTGACTGAATGTTTTCTGATTATTGAGTTTTAAAATTCTTTATGTAGTTGGCTGTGGGTATAGGAAGGTCCCAAAACTTTGGATCAAGCAACTATAAAATATATTTTGGAAAAAATTATCTGTTCCCAACATGAACATTTGTTATTATTCCTTGAACACCATAACTATTTTCAGAACACTTACCTTATATCAGGTACTAATAAGTAATTTGGAGAAGGTTTAAAGTACACAGGAGGCAGGGCTGGGGATTTAGCTCAGCGGCATAAGCACCTGCCTTGCAAGCAGGCGGTTGTGAGTTTGATCCCCCATACCGATAAAAAGTTTAAAAAAAAAAAAAAAGAGAGAGAAAAGTACACAGGAGGGGCTGGGGGTTTAGCTCAGTGGGGTAAGCCCCCACCTGGCAAGTGTGAGGTAATGAGTCCAATCCCCAGTACCCCAAAAAATAAAAGTATACAGGAGGATATGCGTTGTCTGTTTGCAAACAACACAACATCGTTTTTTGCTTGTTTGTTTTTAGATCAGGAAACTACACGCCATAAGTGTAAGAGACTCGAACATTCATGGGTTTTGGTTTCCTTGAGGTCTTGGAACCAATTCTCAGTTAATCCTGAGAGCTAACTGTGTATTCTGGCTTTTTGTCCTTATCAGATGTGTGGTTTGTCAATGCATTCTTTTCATTTTTTAAAGTTTTTTTTAATGAGCAGAAGTTCTTGACTTTGATGAAGTCAAATTTATCAGTTATCCAATTCATGATCATGCTTTTAAACACATACCAAAAATAAAAAATCTTTACTTAATCCAGAGTCACACATTTTTCTGTTTTCCACTAGAAATTTAACAGTCTTAGCCTTTATACATAGATTAATTTTTCAGGACAAGTTCTGGATTCTGGGCCATTTACTTCACATATGCTTATTCCACTGTTAGAGCTCCATTTGCATCTTGGTTAAAAATCAGTTGACCACTGTGTTAGCTTTCTCTCACTGTGACAAAATACTTGTGATAAACAATTTAGTGGAGGAAAGAGTTGTCTTGAATCACAGTTCTGGAGGTTTTAGTCCATGTCAGCTAGCCTAACTGTCTGGTGTGTGTGGAGGCAGAAATGTCGTGGTGGAAGAATGTGACAGAAGAAAGCAAGCTGCACACTTGATAGAGGCAGAAAGGAAAGAGAGAGAGAGAGAGAGAGAGAGAGAGAGAGAGAGAGAGAGAGAGAGAGAGAGAGAGAGATAACAGAAAGCCAGAGAATAGGAAGGGGCTGGGTTCAGATGTAGTCCCCAAAGTCCTGCCCATGAGCCCCACTCCCTTCAGCTGGACCCACCTCCTGCTTCCATGCTACCCAATAAATCATGATTAGCAGACCCATGAGTGGATGGAGCTGGACACTGTTGAAGTTAAGCTATGTGATCCAATCACATCTCCGAACATTGCTGCATGGAGTATGAAGCTCTCATGACACAGGTCTTTGTGGGTCACCTCATATTTACACTGTGATAACCACACACGGTACAAGGCTACCTTTGGGTTTTCTCTTCTATCCCTTTGTCCTCTTTGTCAATCTTGATGTCAGGCCTCACCTGGTCTGAGGACCTGGTACCATTTTGCATTCTTACCTGCAACTCCCTAATGAGTTGCTCCACACCCTGGTAAGACTTGGTGCTTCCTGTCTCAAAAGAATCTTTGTCTAGCTATTACAGTGAGTACATGATGATAGCTCATCCTGATTTGAATCTCCAGGATTGTCTCCTTACTAGAGTTTCTCATTGTTTTTCCATTTCCTCTAGTTTCCCAAACAAAACCCGAGAGCCATCCCTGGCAGTTAGCAAAGCCTCCTTGCTGTGTTCCAGCTTCCAGAGAAGCAGTACAGTCTTCCTGAGTTATCCAAGGTGCTGCCTTGAATCCAGCCTTTCTCTTGCACCCCTATCTGATCTGTCAGCAAGACTAAAACAACACAAATTCAGTGAATTTCTCCCTACCACCCCACTCTCCTCTCTTGCCTGGTTTTAATATCCCAATTCTTCTACCCACTTGGGTCTGTAACGTGATCCTTTAAAAAGAAAGAAAAAGTTTGTTTTCTTACTCTTTTAGCTCACACCTGTGTCTTGACTTCCCAATTTAAGTGCTTACTGCTGCCCAGAGGATCCCTGCCTTCTAGCAAAGGCTCTCTCTTCTGCAGCTCCCCTCTTCCTTCTGCTCAGCCAGAATTTTCCTCTTGACTCTTCTTCCCTCCAGCCAGACAGGATTCCACAGTATTTGCAAATCTTCTTTAAATCTGCATTTTAAGAGTTTAGCTCCACCCTACCATTTTCCTCTTGGCTGCCTATTCTCTCCCCCACCCCGCCCCCCTTCCCACTGTTCCTAACCTCACCAGTACCCAGCGCCTTAAGCATCAAGCCTCCTCACATCTATGCTGCACAGCAAGGCCATGGGCCTTTAGGATCCCAAAAGGATCCAATGCAGAGCCAGCACTGCCTTTCTAGGTACTTCCCTAGTACTGGGAATTGAGCTCTGGGTCTTTACACTGAGCCACAGTCCCGCCCTTCCAAGTGTTATTTTGAAGCAGGGTCTCACTCAGCTCCTGCCCCGCTAGGACTGGGTTGGATCTTAGGATCCTCCTGCTGTCAAGTTCCTCCTCCCTTAGCCCCACCAGCTTTGCGCTCTGAGCTTGCACAGCTCTGTCAGAGTCCAGTACACTCCACGAGAAAGGAACCCCAAGTGCCTGGGAGCAAAGGCCCACCCCAAATTGCTTGCATAAGCCCAGCAATTGTAGGTCCAGCCTTAAGTGAGAACTGGATCAAAGGGTCTCCCTACTCAGTGGGAGACTGAAAAGCTGGGCACAGTGTGTCGACAGGAAAAGGAACTTTAGCGCAGGAAACCCGCATCAGGAAACCTACAGAAGACTCCTGAGGAAGCAGAGCTGGGGTGGCTCCTACACAAACAGAAAAGGGAACTCGGGGCTCCCCAGGGTGCACACTCCACACTGTCTAATTCCAGGTCAAAACAGCTCCAGCTATGAATTCTCCGATGGCTACTTTTTAGACAAATATAGTTACTGTGACAATCCTGGAAAATAATTATTGGAACAATGTGTGTCTGATGAAACAATTTCACTGCAAATGAGCACACAGTGGAGAAGCAGTTATAGCCAAAAAGATTTAAAAATCAGACTCCTCGCCCACTCTTTCTTCTTCCTACTGTCTTTCTTGCTGGCAGCAGGTGAATACACGGCTGCCACAGGTGCCCAGAACTTATCTGAAGAGTCTGAAAAGGGGTGCCACCCAGGAACCTGGCCCTCAACTCGAAGTAGTCCCACCTGGCAGAGCAAGGTCTACAGGATCCTGGCAGAAGAGGGCCTAGAGGACCCTGAGACCTTGGACGTGAGCTTAGACTTCCCCAGGAGCAGGCTTTTCCCTTGCTTGCAGAGCCTGCCTGCCTCCTGGTCCCTGCACAGGGAATGTACTCACCAACACCAGGATTAGCAGTCGCCCAGGTCTAATCATTGTTCTGACCAGGGAGCTCCAATGTCCTGATTTAGGTAACCCCAGGGGAGGCACCAGCAGCAAGCCCAGCTGAAAAGTCAGTGGCTTGGAGGAGGCACCTGCTTAGAATTCTGCAGTGTCCTTTTCTGCAGCCTGCTTTGAAGCTCACATTGGCTTGTGCAATCTTTCCGCTCCATGACTGGACATTTTTGGTCTAGCTATTGTGGAAAATAGTTAAGAGTTTCCTCAATTCCTATCTCCCCAAATAATAGGATTACCAAATTATCCAGTAATTTCACTCCCTCAACACTGAAAGCAATATATGGTGTTTTCTGTGCGTATGTTCACAGCAGTGTTACTGACCCCAGCCTAAGGTAGAAGCAATACTAACACTCATGGATGGAGGTTGGATGAACTAAATACAGCCAAGCAGACAGGACACATGGCTGCTACACAGGTGAAAGGGGAGGGGAAGAATTATGCCAGAGGAACAAGTCACTCAGGAAAGGATTGAACTCGTATAACTCCATTTCAATAGGGGAAAACATCAGTTTCCTTGTGACAGAAATTAGGAGGTGCCAGAGGCTATACAAGGGGCTGGTGGCAGGATAGTGGGAACAGTGTTTCACTGTTAGAAGATGAAAGAAGTCCTGGAGATGGATATGGTGATGACTGGAGAACACTGTGAAAGTGCTTAATGCCCCTGAAATATGCACTTAAAATAGTAAAGACTAAAATGGTGAAGACGATTTAAGAGCATCACATAAAATTGTATAATTTGCACGTAGTCCATTTGGACTGCAGATGTAGTTCAGTGTTAAAAGCTTGGCCCACATGAATGAAGCTCTCTGAGCCATCCCTCCTGCTAGTGCCCTTCTTTCCACCTCTATCTTAGGGTTTCTCACACACACACCCCAGGCTGAGAATGCGCTCTTGATTGACAGATGTGAGGTAGATTGGTCTCCAGTTCTCTTCACTTTGATGGATACCTTAAAAAAATTGCCAAGTGTTTCCAGGGAATCAAGTACAGAGAAGGCTATAAGGCTCAACTATAGAACCAACCCCAGCATTATCCAAATGTCCCTCCTCTTCTTGTCCTTTGGTATGAGAATCAGAATGACCAACTCTGTTGTCCATTGCTAGGTGTTTAGATGTTGTAGAGGCAGGTGATTTGCCAAGGAAACTTTTGTGGTGTGAAGTTTGTAGTCTTTGTTTTGGTTTCTACAATAGGCTCCTGAGGGTGCCCTGAGGGTGCCCTGCTGCTTTACCAAAGACTCCTGAGGGTGCCCTGCTGCTTTACCAAAATTCAATTGTTGGTCATCTCCAACCCATCTGGTACCATTTCCAGTTGGTAGTACCGTTTCTCTATCTTTAGAACATTCCACTTACTTTGTGCTGTGAAATACAAGAGCAAGAGTGGCATCCTGTCTTCCATGAGCACAGCATCACCCAGACTGACTTCATGAGGATCAGGATACTTGGGAGCTACCGGACCACAGGAGAGCATCTGGGTGAAGACCGGAGCCACTAGGGAGCTGGGTATACAGCCACACAGATTTCAAAGCAGAACTAAGCACTGGATTCCTCAGGGACTTTATCTCTTCCAGGTAGGAACTGAATGATGCACAGCACTGACCGAGAGAGACCCCAGCTTCTCTTGAGTTCGCACAGCTCGGATGTGTCTGGGCACCATGGAGCAGGAATAGCACACTGATGTTTCATAGGTGGTCAGAGCCCCAGCGCTATGTTGAGACCTCTGTGCAAACACGAATCCCAGGTGACAGCAGCATACTTCCTCCTGCACAGTCATGGTCCTCATGTTCCCAACTGGCCAGTGTGTCTTCTCTGTGAGGGACAGTTACCCTAATGGTAACTTCAGTGGATGAAAGGATCCTTGGAGAGTGATTGATCATGAGTCTATGCTCATCAGTGGATGAATGCACTGAGGTTTACGGCTGAATGTGCTGATAGGAGGTGGGGTCCAGTGGGAGATGGGTCCCTGGGATGGTGTCTTTAGAGGGCTCATCTCTCTCTGGTGCTCTTTCTAAATGCTCTGCTTTTAGCTACCATGAAATGAGCAGCTTTCTTTTGCCTCACCCTTCTGCCCAGTGGCAGGTACTTTTGAGCCAGACACCTGTGGACAAAAATTGAAACTGTGAGGCAAAATAAAAGCTCTCCTCCTTTAAGTTCCAGACATCAGGGAGTTTGTTGCAGAGCTGGAAAGCTGACTAATTCTGTGGTGTTGCTGTCTGAACAGAAGCTACATTATTTGGGGCCTCTGATGACCCTCAGAGGAAACCAATCAGAGGACATGAATTTGACAAAAGGCTCTCCACATGCTTTGGCTTATGGTGACTTCTTTCCTTTCTCTGAAGGTTAACAGAGACACTTCATTTTACCCTCTAGCCTGTTTCCCTGCATGGGTTTCTGGCCCTGCACTTTGTTTCAGAGCAAGGCTGAGATTCTGCATCCTTTTCTTCTCACTGCCTTTTTATTCTCCTTGAGTGGGCACTTGAGAATGTGTACTGATGCCATCTCATGGTTCTTGCACTTAAGAATGTGTACTGATGCCATCTCATGGTTCTTGGTTAGCAAGTCCAATGTCTCACATGCATCGATATATTATTACCTGACAATTAAGGATGCTGAGTGTGTCACCTACTTGCATTCCTAATTTATGAGCACGTCATCTCCCTTCTATTCGTGGAGCCATAGCAATGAGAAACAAAACATGAACCCAACCCATTAGGTTGCCCTGTCCTAGGCATTCAGCAGTGATTTGGTCGATATGCTCTTTCCCAGGTCGCCACACAGACTATCTATGGGACACTAGAGCAGTGGCAGGGAATGAGGGCTGGTCACTTGTAGGTCCACAGGTGATCCAAGTGCCTTTGGTAAGGCCTGCACCAGAGAGAGAGAGAGAGAGCACCCTGGCTCAGCCTTGGCTGCCTATGATAAAGAACTGGCAGCTTGAATATGTTAATTTATCCTGCCCTGCCCTTCCCTCACGGAGCAGTCCCATGCACCTGCCTGCCAACATTTGTGACTCAGTTACCCAAATAGTTAAATAAAGCTTACTCACTCTGAATACTTCTACTTACCTGTCCCTGGTTTAATCAGCCAGGAAGCCACTAGATCTGACAGAATGAGAAAGGAAACAATAGAATAATCAGCCCTAGCTGAGCAGAGGTGCCAGGAGGGCTCTAGAGAGAGAGGGTTTCAGCAAAAAGGAACATACAGAAAGATGAGCTGCAGAATATGGCAAGGGAGGCCAGCAGGACAAAGATGACCAGTTTGTAAAAGAATTAAGCAAGGTCTTAATTCTTCCCAAGCTCCCTTTTCAAGAGTCCTTGCTTTTCTGGACAACCAGAGCATTTCTGGAAGAGCTGAGGTCAGTGGTGGGTGTTGTTGAGGAATTTTGAGAAGCCAAAGGGTCTCAATGATGGGAAGGGGTGCATTAAAGGTGTCATTTAGTCCAGAAGTAGCTGCAGGCCTTCTGGCTAACTGCTTGTAGGCAGCTCAATGGCAGAGATGCTGCAGGTATAATCTACAAAGTTGTTAGCTGAGAACACAAAACAATACCAGTGAGTCCCTGGAAAGCTGGGAATGGAACCCCCGCTTTGTCCCTGTGCATCCTGACTCCTGGCCAGGAGAGGGCAGGATGGGGAATAGTCAGCTCATATCTTGCATCACTTAAAGGTCAGAGTAGAGAGTTGTGGGGAACCACCCAGAGAATGTTCCTTGACTTTCCTTGAAAAGAAGAGCAACCATGTCCATTTTGGATTAACCTGGCCCCATCTCCATGCACTGATCTGTAAAGAGCTGGCTACACTATTTCTCTGTCCCTTCAATTGACTTTAAATAATGTAAATTGAGGAGCTGATATGCAATCTTTGACATAAGGCAACAGGTCAGTGTTACCCCGCCCAGTGACTCCCCAAATATAGTAACTGAACCAGGTGGGATGGGGAGCAATGCTCCACATTATAGGCGAGGACTGAACCTCCAGAAAAAGGCTCTGACTTCCCAGGGCAAAGAGAATTGTCCATCAGAACTGAAGCACCAACCCCAAATTATTAGATACTTCCTCTGTTGTGTCACTCACTCTCTGCATTTCTTGCCCTCTGCCTATCTCAGAGGTGATCTTACCTAACCCAGCTGATGGCAGTCATGTATTTCCCGCCATTCTCACTGTCACCCATCCCCCCAAGCCACTCCCTTCATGGAGAATTAATAAAACCTGGGTTGGGCTCTGGGTCATGGACTTAGTTCCTGTGAATCACTATCTTGGCTGGACTTAAGAGGCTCTGTATATAAATCTTAATGTCATTATTCTCACCTTGGATTGCACTGAAAGTGATAGGTTGGAATTAACTCCCAGAATTGCAATAATTTCTCTATGAGATCACAAATATAGACTTTCCAGGACCATAATGAGGATGGGAAAAGGGTATAGAGAGTACAGTAAAGCAGCCCTCTCACCGCAGGTATTCTCTGTAGGGCTCTTTTCTGAAAATAAGCTGTAAGGTGTGGTGGGGGATGGAAACTTGGGGGAGGGGCAGGCCTGTGACAGCCCCTCACCTGGATCCTCTCCTGCAGAAACACACAACACCCTTCCTTCTCCTGCTATAAGCATTGGCGAAACATAGAGCTGCCTCTTCCTGAAAAATTGCTGTCTGCAGAGCAAAAGGACAGCCTGGGACCAGTAACTAACGGTAGTATGGAGGTTAGCCTGTGGGTGTCTAGGGAACCCTGTGTCTTGTCCTGGCCTGGATTTCAGCTCAGAAAGTCTCCAACAGGACCTCCAGGACCTAATGAAATTCTGGGCCTCCCCTGAAAACTCTGTGCAGCTGAACCCAACCAGGGACCTAGAGTAGTCATGGCCTGGTGGGGCCCTACAAGCTGTGCTCTGTCCCTGTGGACAGTCCACACCGACAGCCTTCTGTCAAATGGTGAGACAGAAACCTATCAGGACGTGATCATTTTGTGTTACAGACACTTGACCCACCCTCTGCCTGGGCTGCTGTCCAGAATCACCAGTGTTACACCAGCTGAGCTTGGGTCCCTACCCAGCTGGGTTGGGTCCTGCTGGCAAAGATTGCCTGCATTTTCCATCAAATGGCTGACACTGCGGGAGTGGGG